AACACCGGGATTGTGGTGTGGCGTACTGGCATATTATCTAAGAGGTTAGCTTCGAGCTTCGGAAGTGCCGTGTTCGATTCCGCTCGAGGGCAGTCTTTGTCTTATTCACAAATTTCCTTGAGCAAGGAATTTACGACATATTGCTTCAGCCGTGGTTGCTCAGTCGGTAGAGCATCGAACTCAGAACCGTTCGTCTCGAGTTCAATCCGCGGCGGGGGACACTCGCTCATTTTCCTTCGGAGGTTGATAAATGAGCACCATTCTGTGGAAAGGAAACTGGAGACTACATGCTGCTCTTCCCACGTAGCTGTGGGCTTTACCTTTAAAATATTTCACTCCTGGTTGATGGAATAGAGACGAGATCAGCACCGCAGCGTCAACTTTGTGAAGAGAATGCCGCCAGAATGGCCCAATCATGAAAGTGAAGGAGGGCTGACATTCCAACTGTGACAGATATTCCTTTTCCTTTCCTTCTTTTTTATGTGTTGACACGAAAACATTCAATGCAAGATGAATACTCGTTTAGTGTAAGTCAAAGGTTGGAGATTGTAAGTTGTTGTCTGTTGATATCATCACTTTGCGCCGCTTGCATTAGCGGAAAGCCTCAGGTTTGTGATGTCCTTTGTATTCACAACTTTTCAACATTTGCTATGCGGCACTGGTTATTACATCGTATAAGGAAGTATTATATGGTGTAGTCAGTAGTCTGTTACGTAGCAAGATTTTGTTACATGAGCGATGTGCAACCGTCACTCCGGATTATGTTATCATTTATTCAGTCCTGATGATGCTACCGGTGTTAATAATGAGACGCATCTATCGTTGTCAAAATATCTTTTGTTGTACGCTTACGCGTGCTGACAAAGCACGAGGAAAATTGTCTGAAGAAAATATTTACGTGATCAGATGAACCCAAGATCGAATTTTCCTTTAAGGAATGTTTTTATCGTTAATAGGTCCAAACAATCAGTCTTTTAAGCTTACCGTTCTGCAGTGATGAAGGAAAGGTTGAGTAGTGATGCGAAGTTTTCTGTGTTCAGGTCCGTTTATGCACCTCCTTGCATGTGATCGTATTTACTGTGTGTAGACGGAAAGTCTGCGATCCTGGATGCAAAAGTAGAAACGAAATTGCTTCGAGGAAAAGTTGCGATGGGGCTCGACAAGCTTCAAACACAACAGTTTTGGTTTTGGATACCCTATCTTGTAAGATAGGTAAATACCCTAGCATACCCAAAATTTGCATATCTGCATCCAGTCATAGACACCTTAGGTTGCGAGCTTACATACCATGCACCTTTGTCAAATCGAAAAATCGCAGTTGGAATTTCTTTGATGCGTGATCGGGATTGCAGGGCAGACCCTCACAAAACAGTGAAAGCGGATAGGGATACAGATAGCAGATGATCGGACACAGATATTAGACACATGGTATCGGCGCTGTTTAACCTCAAGCCCTGAGTTTACCTGACTGGCACAGGACTGGTACCGCTGGAAGAACCTCCTTTCTGCCCTGACGACCGAAAATTAGCAAAAGTGTATGAAAATGGATAGACGACTGTGTTTAGGGAATATTTTATTAATTATTTTTTAGACTGAGCAGTCATTGCTCTCTGAGCTTACTCACTAACCAGTTGATTGACTCGCATGAACCTGTTGGATTTTTGTGTTGCATGCCAAAGGAACAAAAGTGGAAGTGGAACGTTTCTACTTGGTGAGTTATCCGTTTGTTGCAGCTACATGACTGGCTCGAATCAGACGATATTGCCTGATTACGCGGATTATATCTATAGCTATAAGTGATTCAGT